TATATATAAGCTTTACGAAAGAGTTTATTTCTTTTTTTTTTATATGCATCGATTAGTCCATTACAGACATAACTCATACATATACACATATTTATGAAAGAATCATCAACACAACGAGTCGATCAGCTTTCATTTGCTATTTGATATCACTACGATTGACTCGAATTTCTGACGACTAAAGATGCATTCCAAAATATACTAAAAATGTCTAGTTTGTATTATGTCCAACTTTACCGTCAATGCATTTTAAAACGCACCAAAATAATTGAAGTTTAATCAAATTTTCTATATAGATTTCTATCTCTATCGTTTTTCTTATTCGTTAATTAAGAAAAATTATAATAACCAAGAGTCACTGTAAGATAGGATTGTCATATTAAAATTTTCAAAACGAGAACTTACAAAGCCAAAAACCCCGGACATTTCGGGGTTGCAACCCCGGACGTATACAAAAATACGCTTAAATGAATAAAATTGATTAGAACAGTCGTATTTATATAGGAAAAGGAAGGGAATAATTACGTGCAAACGGGAATTCGTAGATTTCTTTCTCTTCGCGAAACTGCCACATCGGCGGAGCGTTCACTCGACACTTCCGCGATTCCAGCGGATAAGTGGAAATCCTGCAGCCTGCGGAACCGCCGGTCGAATCCGTGACGTCGTCTAAACGTGCCGTGCCGCTCTCCCCGTGTATTCGACACGTTGTGCAACAATTTCCGTGCTGCGGGCGCATAACGCAAACGTACGAGGTATTTTTTTTTTTCGATGGATCGCGCGATACGTGCTCACCTGTGGAACGAGTGCGGAGCACGATATTTTTTTCGATTCACGGGCTTGGCTCGTAGAAAATGCATATGCGACGAGAGATCACAGACATTGCCGAGTGTAACGAGCCACGTGTGTCGTGCTCGTCGCAGTGATATCCCGGTACTTTGCGAAGGATACGAACGTGGCGATCGTAAGTCGTAAGAAATTCATTTGCGAGGACGTAAATGCCCCTCGACAAGCGATCGTTCCGGTGGCGAGGTAAGGTTAAGTTTTTCAGTGCGGTGCGGACGGTCGCTTCGCCCGTCGGCCGTCGCGCGGCAGCACCGTTTAACGGCGTTTTACGTGAGCAAGACGTTGAAGCGCGCGTTTCAATTTGATGCGCGCTCTGCGGTAGAATTCAATTTGAATAGTTGAAAAGTTTAAGAATTGTAAAAATATACGGATCCGATCGGATCCGTATATTTCGTCGAGTACTTAATTGATCGGATTGATTATTCGATTTACGCTTGAGTATTCGTTCAATTCGAATCTTAATGTCCGAATTTATTCGAATCTATAAATGTGTTAACTCCGAGTCGAATTCTAATCAAATTTATTATTTATCAGAACACAAGTGGTAAGAGTTAATTACGAAAATCGGCTCGGAATTAATTCTGAATTTTTTATTACAACAATATGCCTTTGAATTTGTTTAAATATATACGAACTTAATTTTTGTTTTAAGAAACCCGATATTCTTCAAAATAGAATTTAATTTCACTCTAGTTTGCGAAAAATCTGCTTCAACCGTATGAAATAATGAAAATATTAACAATATTAATAATATTATAGGAATATTAATAATATTATAGTAAAATTTTAAAGGGTAGAATTTTACAGATTATTTTTGTAGTACAGTAATTTAAACTCGGGGGGAGTTCCTTCATTGAAATGTTCGATAATGACATTTCACATAATTATCAATATTTGTCGGAGAAGTTCTCCCTGACCAAAGCATTTTGCGCGATTTTTCGCGATTAACAGCAGCCCGGAGGCCACGGGTTCAATCTCGATCAGAGGCGGCATGTTGTGGCGCGTCTCCGGGATCGTCCATTAACCGTGCGTCTAGCGATCCGCAAAAGCGAGACGACGTCGTAAAAGGGGTGGGACGGTCACGCCGCGGCGCCAAGGCAGCTCTGGGGCTCTTCTCGGGCTCTCGAGTAGCATCGCGGGCGGAACGCTTCTTCGAGAGATGCTCCTCCATTATCGTAATTTGCAAATTTCCCCGGGACCGCGGATGAAAAACGACGAGAGGCGCCGTGGTTGAAACGCGCGAGTATATACGGAGCGCGGAGAGAGGAGGGAGGGCAGACCGCTAGGGGTGGAAAGAGAGGAAGACGGCGAGGCGTGGGGAGAGGAGGAACAAGAACCGCGAAGACGGTGGCGGATTGGGCGGCCTCGGGGCGCGGTTGCGGATTCTCGGCGTGATGCC